AACGCCGATCCGGAGGAGGCGGCGTGCAAATTTCTCTTTTGGCCGATAGAAAAAAGATGGTTTACTTAAAAAGAACGATATCTCAAAATACGGTAGCATACGATATCTCGCAGCTCTCTGAGAAGAAGAGCGGTATTGAGCGCCAGGCGCGGTCCCGCGCCACGATATCTGTACGGTAACGAAAGGGATTTCAGTAAGCCAGAGCTCAGTATATGGCAGAGGGGCAGGATTCTTTGTAGGCTAGAGAGAGAACGCTAAATAACTCTCGGGAGAGAGGAATGATCAACACTCACCTTGGCTTACTTATAAATATATTTAACAATTATTGTACATGGATAAAGTATATAACAGATGTAACGGGCGTGTTTAGAGTCGCGGATAACCGCAGTTGTGTCTTTCAGGATCGGTTAGGCAAGCGCAACAAAAAAAAAGGAACGGATGGTTATTTAATAAATGTATGTATTTAAATGTTGAGTATGTACAGTTGTATCAATGGTGTATGCGTGTGTGTGTGTGTGTGTATTTTCGAACAGCGCGTGAATCGGTTGTGTATGTGTGCGTGTGTGTGTATGCGTGGAATTCCTCGGGCGCAAAAAAAAACGTGATGTTCTTACGATAAGCTACGGGCTTCGCCCGCGATCGTCGTACCGCTGAATTAAACGTTTTGGAAACGGGCGGCGTTTATCTCACTCGTATGCAACTTGGAAGGATGCGTTTTCGGATGGCAATACAGATTTTATATGCGCTTCAGATGACATAAGTCCGGTTTTAAACGGTCGTAGCGTTTTCGTATAGCGAGCGATTTTCGCAATCAGCTGATTTAATTTGGCTTCGATCGCGGCGCGGTCGACGACCGCGGCGCGGTCGACGATACGCGGTGCGTGTTTACGTTGTTTTTGCATGCGGTCTTTTCTTTCGTTTCGCGGAATTATGCGATATATTCCTCGGATGGTGATGTCGGGATTCCGGGATAGTCAGTGTTAGCGGGAACAACCCGCTGGGGACAGCTCTCTTCTCTACCTCCGTATGCACTGACTGGGCTAGGACGGATGCTGCGTGCGAACCGAGATTTCCCGGTTAAATCGGGATGCGCCCCAATTTATTTTTCTTGGACGAAGAAAATGGATGCGTCTACTGATTCGGACCCCTGAGATCTCCCAGGCGTAATGGAGAGCACCCCACCGCTTGGTCGCGAATTTCTTCGACTTTTAGATGTGTGGCTTCTTTTGAGACTGCTCGCTCGAAAAGCTCGGATAAAAAGGTACTCGTTTGGTTGATGGGCCCCTTTTTATACTGAGCTAATTAGCCCGCGCCGGCGTACATTAGAATTGCCCCCACCGAGCGGACGAAAAGAACGGAACGATGTGGATTCCGCTCATGGGAGCGCGGCGGAGCCGGACGCGATTAACTCCTTCGTCGGCTGTTTTCGGCTCGCTCCGCCGATTCGGTCTGGCTCGGTTTTAAGCCGTTGCGGCGTTTAAAAAAAATGTGGCGCTACGCGCCCTGCCCTCTGCCCGGCGGTGTTATGCCTGCCGGTGTTCCATCTCGCATGCTAGGCATAATTAGGGGGGTGCAAGGGTGCATTGTTACACAGAGACGATAAGAGTGTAATAGAAAAGATTAAATGTACGGGAAGAAAATAGAACAGATTAAAGGTAGAATATACACAAGTAACGAGATTGATAATGTGAGTTCAAAAGAAAAGAAACATCCGAGCGATACGAATAACACGAAGGTCGATGATAATCGATACGAGAACGCACACATATAATACGCGCGGCAAAGAATAATAACGAGATCGGAATGGAAACGAATATAATATCTCACGGACGGCGATGACTAGAAACAATCAATAATTTCTAAAGAAATAAATCATGTCGACATAATATAATAAAAAAACAGAAAGAGATGCTACAAATATCGCGACAAAATATAATATAAAAATATGATACAAAGAGGACGGCAACTATAATTTAGTATAATCTAATACGCCATATAACGACAAGATACAATACGAAAATTATCTCAGAAATCGGCAAGATGCACGAGTCTCATAAAAGATCACGATATACGTCGAATTGAGCTTGGTGCAATAATCGGCGATAATGTTCAGTAAACAATTTGAACGTAGAGACGACAGTTAGTAATGGTAACTCCTCGTCAACAGGCACAATTATTGTTTCACCACGTTTAACAGCCGAATCTTCCCGACCTTTCGCACTCGGCGAAAACAACTTTGACAAACAACACGAACGTTAACGGACATAAATTTGAAACGGAGATTTCGCGATTTATACGATTCTTGTCGAGTGGATTTCGGGTAGACGGTAGCTCTCACTCGTAAAAAACAATCTCACGCAAATTCCGCTGTTTTCTCCACGATACGGAAGCGCCGAAACTTCGTTTATGGGCGTAGATAGGCTACGCGTCCGCTCTATGCTTAGCCGGAAGAGGATGCATTACTGGCCGCAAGGTTGACGAGGTTTCCGCTTCAATTATTAAGTCACAGTATGGATCTATGTACAGTTTATTTCGTGAGTCTATTTACAAGTTTTATATACAGGGCCCTGAAAAGGGCCATTGAGATCGGCGCGCTCGCGATAGGTTATCCGCGGGGTCGCCTTGGTGTAGCGGAGAGGTCTCCAGGAGCCGTTGTCGTCGTTGTTATTGACGTCCACCGGTTTGCGGCGCTTCGGCGGCTCCGTCTGCGTGGCTACGGAGCTCGTGGGCGTTTCCCAGTCGGAGTTGGACTGGGTCTCCCGGTCCGCCGTGGAGTTCGGCGGCTGAGTCACCTGGACCCCTCGGTGTACCCGGCTGGCTGTGATGGTCTGCGTCCCCTGGGTCGTCCGATGGAGCGGTGAAGGCGGCAGAGGAGACAGTGCCTCTGGAACTGCCCAGGATGCTGAAGGCGAGGTGTAACGCCTTGTCCGGATGTCCCAGGCGGCTAGCAGCTCTCTCGGTGGCCTGGTGAGACGAGGTGGTTCCAGGTCGATCAGCTGTAGTGTCCACGGCAGCAAGGAGAACGACACCCTCCTCTCCGGCTCGACAGCTGCTCCGTTCGACGGTCGAAGTGGCCCTGGTGATCGGGGCGTCGACGCTGGTCGTGGAATGCGACTCGGCTGGCGGCGAATGTTAACGGAAGTATGACCCTCCGGTTACCACAAAAGAGGAGTACTCAAGCTGAATAATATGCAGTGTTATTGACCCTGCAAAATGCTCCGAGCTGAGACTCCAATTCGGCTTCTCGCGGTCGGCCTTATATACGGGCCCTGCCGGATCCCACTTGCGCGAAGATCGGCGCCTGTATGCCCGTGCTGCCGCGCGCTAGTTTGCGCGCCTAGATTGCCGCGCGTTCAGGCGCTCGGCGCTGTACGCCGTTACGCCTGTGTGGCGTATGGCAGAACGCCACAGGACCCCCCTGGATGTGTTAAAGCCCAAGGTTGATTTACGCTGGCTTGAATCGGACGGGTTGGCGCACCGCTCGTCCTGATCTGGTCGATCCTCTCGTTTCAGTGGTCTTGGCGGGCTCCGTATCTGCTTTGTGCTGTGTGTTGGTAGGGAGCTCTTCAGTCAGAATATAGGCTGGTTTAAGCCTATCCACTGTGATGTTGACTGCTTTTCCCCTGATTCTTAGTTTGTATGTCTTCGTGCCTCGGTTTAACACCTCAAAGGGACCGTCGTAGGGCTGGTGGAGGGCCCCTGCTGGCGCGTCGTGTCGTACGAACACGTGGGAAGCCGTCTCCATGTCCTTGAAGATAAATTGCCTTCTGTCCGTGTCGTCTGACCCCCAGGAGGGGAAGAGATTTTGGGGTTTTTTTAGGAAAATCATAATTCATACCGGGTGGGGCCCGGGAAAAGAAAGTATAAGAAGAGAAAACATCTTTTCAGTCGTGCATGGACCCTGGCAAACACCGGGAACGAAAGCCTCGGCAAAGCTGGTCCAAAGAAAGATTACGTCTGGCAGGAAATACAGAGAGATTGCATGAGCTAGGCGAAAACATGCATACAGTGTCAGAAAGCTAAGATTACGAGACACAACCACACACCAACAGGAACTTTCCAACAACCGACAAGACGATTCCAGCATATACACACGGATATCGTAGGACCACTGCCAGTGTCGGAAGGGCACAGATACTGCCTCACCATCGTGGATAGGTTCACGCGGTGGCAGAGCAATCCGATACGAACATCACGGCAGAAACCGTCGCTAAATATATTTTTTCAGCTGGATAGCACGATTCGGCACACCAGCTCGAATAACTACGGACCAGGGCCGGCAATTCGAAGCCGAGCTTTTCCAGAAGTTGACAAAGATGACGGGCACGAAACACATCAGAAACGACAGCCTACCACCAGAGGCAAACGGGGATGTAAAAGTTCCACGGCAGTTAAAGGCAGCCATTCAGATGCCCGAAACGGAAGCCTGGACCCAGACGTTACCAGTCGTCCTCCTCGGCATCAGGGCAACCTGGAAGGAGGACCTGAAGGCCACACCAGCCGAAATGGTATACGGAGAGCCAATCCGGTTGCCAGGACAGTTATTCTGTGGCCACAACGACAACTACGAAGCAGAAGACACCGTGGTAACCAGGCTTCGGCGAACAATGACAAAGACTGCAGCCTCA